GGGGCCCAGGTCAACGCCGTTCTTCATGTAGTATTTCTCCAGCTTGGCCAGGATGTGTTTTCCATACGTGTACTTCCTCAGGGTGGAGATGTGGGGTCGGATCTGTGCACGAGGAGACAGGCGCACACACGGGGAGGGGGGGGGCGGTCAGTTTAATTCTATAAAACAGTGAGAAACCCCCCCTCCCCTCCAGTACAAACCCCTCAGACCGGAGGAAACAAAAGGAAACAGAACCCGGAGAGAGGCCCAAAGGCCGGTCGTGTTTCTACTGGAACGTCTCCAGTTCAGCCAGAAAACCTTTCTAAATGGATTTAATCTTATTTTTCTGTGAAAATTTCATTCCTTTAGGAACGACGTTACAGTGATCCCTCACTTATGGTGGTTGTTAGCTTCCAGGACCATCCGCAATTAGTGAAAAACCACAAAGTAGTGATGCTATCTTTACTTTTTTATACATTATTTTAGTAGTTATACACTATTTGAAGTTTTTAATTAGCTTCTCTGGTTGGTTGCTTCCACCAGTCGACCAATCAGGTGATGTGTTAAATCTCACGCCGGTCAATAGCGTTTCAGGAGGTGGTTGTGTTCATACGTTATTTACTCACTACTGATTTAGAGTGAAATATTTGTAATATATTTTGATACATTTTGTGTAGTTAAATGCTTAATTTGTCGATTTACAAACATTACTGTTAAACAAGCATGTGAACAGCAAAAAACATTGATATTCATCAAAATAACGCGAAAAATCGCTGAACACCGTACTAGCTAGTAAAGTCCATTAACCCTGTAATGCCAAATGTATCATATTTGATAAATACGCTTTCTGAAATGATTTGCTTCTGACAACTTTTGGATAATTTAATGGTAAAAACTTTGCTCAAAATCCTATTGCACACAATCAGATATACCTGATAACAGGGGGCAGAAGACTACACAAAAAATAATCTTGACTTATCGCATAGTAATAAATTATTAATATTAAAAATGCATTTCTGTTTTTTCTTTCTACATATTTTGTTAAAAGGCCAAATAAAGACTTCAAACCAAAAAAAAAGTAATTTTCTGTTTTGTTTTATTCTTGGATCGGGCTTTAAAGGGTTAAATTGATTGAATGTTTGTCAACAAAACTAGCTAAAGGCTGAACCCCCACTGAGGCCCAGCTGCCATTCGAGGAATATCTGGACATTAAAACTGGTCCAAAAAACCCGTTTTTACATCGCACAGGGACAGACCCATGTCTGGTTCCCGCACTGACCTTATGCATGACTATTTTGCGCTGCGTGGGCTCGGCCACGTCGATCATCTTCTGCACCACGTAGTTGGCATACTGGTCCTTCATCATGGTGTATAAGGCACTGTGGGGGCCCTCGGTCAGGCTGCACACCTCGTCTATCAGCAGCGCGCGCTCCGCCCGCGACGCGTGGGTCACACACTTCTCCACCACGTTGCTGCAGGAGGAAGCCCGTTAGCTAACATCACCAGAGCAAACAAAAGCCGGAAATGCCTTCGAGTTCGCCCCTGAAAATGATCCGATTCCAACGTGTGAACGTGCCCAATTTGTGATATATTATAAATGAATGGTGTCGTGAGTCTGCATGCTTCAATATCAAGGACAACACAGAGAATTACAATCATTTCGTATATATTTTTAAACTGAAAAAATACAAACATGAAACAAAAAAAAACAAAAAAACCTGAACGTAACAGGATAGCTTTTTTGTTTTTTCTGCTACCAACTGAACCCGTTCCTCCATGTTGGCTGCTCTGTTCTGCTGAAAGCCAGGTAGTCACATGACCACACCTGGTCAGGTGACTAGGCTTGTCCCGAGCCGATATTTGGAAAAAAAAAAGCGTACCGGCCGGCATGAGAAAATGCCGATCCAGTTTTTTAAAGAAGCCCAATCCCACAAGAGCATTAGCATTAGCATCTCCTAACCCACAAGTCTGTGTCTATTAAGTTGTTACAAAAGTGTAAATCCCTTTTCAACATGAGTCTGACAACCAAGTAAGTAGGCTAAATAACTTTAAATTTTAATACGTGCTCTGATAGGCCGCGATCTGAAGCGCAAAAAGCTGGATAAGGACATCCCTACAGGTAACCACACCTGGTCAGGTGACTACCTGCTGCTGCACAGTGTGGCGTCCATGTTGGCTCCACACCACACAGACGGCCCCCTTCATTGTAATATTTGTGCTATGTTCAACGTCTGTCCTTTTCAAAGTAATAGATATTTTTTCTTTTTTCTTTAAATAGAGAATCCTGCTCCGGCACACGCTCACATAACTGCACAGTATGACATCGCAACTTCGTTTCCATTAATGTTGCGGCACTAGTGCCCACTCACATGAGCTAATAACCTGAGTCATGCAGAAATACGCTGGAAAATCTCTGTACAGTCACTCTGTACTTTAACTGAGACTTAAGTACAACTGCTGTGTGTGTGACTGCCCACAGAAGAATGTGTTTACAGAGTCAGAGAAACAGGCGCCAGCTTCCCCTGCATGCCCCATCCCACATTATAAAGAGGTGCGGCTCCAGTTGTGGGCAGAGGGGGGGGGTGTTTAACCAGAGGGGGGGGGGGCGGTTAGCCTGAGGATGAGTGGAGATGATGGCTGTCGGCTTTGGGGCCTGTGGGGGAATTTACCTGGCAAACTTGTGCTGGCTCAGTCCCAGGACGTTGCCTCTGATCTCAGCCACTATTTTGCTCTTGTCCTCGGCGCGCCCGTGCTCCAGGACATGCTGGATCACATAGTTTCCGTACTGGTCCTAAAAACGGAAAAAGAGGCAGACCGCAGAGACACTCTGACTCAGACGTGAAGAGGACAGTTGGTGTTCTGACGTAAGAGCAAACTCTGCCAACTCCCCAAATCTGGGGGCTCAGCGAGGAGATCGTGTCGTTCTAATAATGGATAATATGGGAAATAATAAGGAAATATAGTAGAAATTATAAGGAATAATAGATGGAATTATTAAAGAATAATAGGAGAAATAATAAGGAACAATAGAAGGATTTATAAAGGAATAATAGAAGGAATAATAAAGGGAATTATCAAGGAATATTAGGAGAAATAAAAAGGAATAACAAGGAATTTTTAAGGAATAATAAGGAAAAATAAAGGGAATTATTAAGGAATAATAGGAGAAATAAGGAAAAATAAAAGGAATAATAAGGAATAATAGAAGGAATTATACTAAGGAATAACAGTTTTCCACACTAATTCAGCATCTGCCCCTTAACCACACAAAGCACAGACTGGTATTCCCACAGTTGGTGCTCTGACGTCAGAGCGGATTCGGCCAACTCCCCAAATCTGGGGCTCAGCGAGGTGATCGTGCCGTTGTGAGACACAGAAACTGGAGGCGTCTCTCTCCCCCTCTCTCTCTCTCTCTCTCTCTCTCTCTCTCTCCCTCTCTCCCCCTCTCTTTCTCTCTGGTCTCACCTGCACGAGCTGCTCCGTGTGCTGGTGGAGCTCCTCCAGGATGGGCAGCGTCTGCTCGGGGAGGCAGTGCTCCAGGATGCGCTGGATGACCCGGCAGCCGTACGGATGAGTGGAGAGGGCGAACACCTTAGGGCCACAGAGATCAGCGTTAGCCGTTTCCCTGGGAGACGCTAGCCGGCTTTTTTAAAGCTGCACAGACCGTCCCGACTTACTGTAAATGTATAAAATATTCTCTCCCAAAAGCAACCCCCCAAACAAATCACTACACAATACACAAGAGCGCCCGCTAACGCTAATGTAACATTTAAGCTTTAAGGCAGAAGATGGCTGCTGCAGCGGATGCGGTTGCCGTGGTAACCCCCGGCGGGACCCACCTGTCCCTTAAAGGCTTCGATGATGAAGTGCAGCGCGTGAGGCTGAACGCACTCGATGCACTTCTGCACCACGTGGTTGCCGTTCTGGTCCTTCACACACTTCAGCACGTGGCCGTCCAGCTCCCGGACCATCTCGCTCTGGGGGGGGGGGGGGGGGGGG